TCAACCTGTACAGTTTGCCGTCAGCTTCCAGGCCTAGAGATGCTGATCGGAGAGGCCGCCACTGCATTGCAGGAGCCCTGGGAGCGGGGTTCGCATTGGGGGACTTCCCTGAGCCCAGGAAGCACGGAACACGAGGCAGGAAGGACTGTCCTGGAAGGGCCGCTGAGGCTTTGCCAGTCACTGTCCACTCGGGGCCTCGTTGGCTTTCGGTGAAATGGGATGAAAATCCTGCTCCACTTGCGGCGCAGGCTCTCCAAGCACACAGAGCGGCCGCGGCGGAGCCATCGCTGTGCGGGCTGAGCACCGGCTGGTGGAGGGCCCCTCGGGACGGAGGAGGCTGGAGGCGGGGACACTGTTGTGGGACAGGAGCAGGATGGGCTCGGAGGGCAGCTCAAGCAGTGACCAGCACCAGACCCTCCTGCTGACCCCACACTGTCCTGGTCACTGTCACTCAGGAACCGGCAGGTGCACGGACTGGTGCTGCCTCTCATGCTGCCCAGCTTCTACTCGGAGCTCTTCACGCTCTACCTGCTGCTTCACGAGCGAGAGGACCGTCGCTACAGCCAGGGCATCGCCAGCCTGAGCCTCTTCCCCGACACCCAGCTGCTGGAGCACCTGGATGTGCAGAGGTGAGCCTCCAGCAGAGGGCACACACGCACGTTGTCTTTAGGAGAAGCGGGGCATAAATTGGCCGAGTGTCCATCAAGGTCTAGGTTAGGGGCGAGTCTGACTCAGGTGTGGCTGGATCTAGGTGCTCAGCCGCTCAGGGAAGCAGCGTCTCTGTGTTGGTCTGTCTCTGGCTCCCCCTTATGGTGAGGAGTATGGCTTCAGCCCCTCAGGTTTAACCTCTCCCAGCTCAGTCCCCTCACTGTCTCCACAGGGAGCTGGGGTCCCCTGCCCAGCAGCTCCCGCAGAGCCCCCCGCGTCCCTCACTGGCTTGGCCTGGGCCTGAGTGCTCCCCGAAGGCTGGCTGTGCCCAGAGTGGCCAGGGCCACCTCGGGGTCTACCCCGGGGCTGGGCAAGCTCGCCTGCTCCTGGCTCTTGGACTGAGAGGGGCGGGGAGACCCTCAAGGGGAAACCGAGCACCTTCCAGGGGCAGAGCAGGGCCTCCCTCTACCCACAACACCTTTCTCCTCAGCATCCCTCCCGACACGGGTACTCGGAGGGATGAGGGCATGGACGCCTGGTCTTTGTCACTCAGGGAGGGTGCTCCCCCCAAACCCCGTCTCCCCTCCATCGTGGGGAATATTTCCTGCATCTGACCAGTCACCAGCCCAGAGACCAGGTGCCGCTGGCTTCCCAGGCGTCTCTCTCCACACCCTCCAGCTGCCAAGTCGCCTTCATGCTGGGCCGGAGGGCGGTCTCCCTTCTCCAGGAGTCCCTCAGCCTCTCCCCGCCCTGGGCTGCACACACGCGCTCGGGGCTGCCGTGGGGGCCCATGTCTGCACTCGGCCCTGCTGGGGACACAGGGAATTTGCCCTCTGACCGCAGACCCTGCCCCCTCCTCTTGGCAAAGCGTCCTGTTGCGTTTTTTAAATTTTAGGCAACTGTGGCCCCGCGAGGACCTCACGCTGACGACCAATCAGGTGAGAGAGCAGGCCTTGTACCTGCCCAGGGAGGGGGGCCTGCACCCGGAGCTTAACCCCAGGTTTGCGCCAGATTCCCGGCTTCTGCCTCAGGCTGCTGGTCAGAGGCTGCAGAGGCCGAGGAGGGGCGGAGGGGTGAGGAGGGGATGCCAGGCTTCCCCGGTGGTTCTGACTTCCCTGGGGGTGAGGGTGCAGCTGATGGCCCACAGTGACCAGGCTCGGACCCAGGCTCCACCTTTTCATGGTTCTGTTGCCGTGGGCCCAGGGTCTGATCTCTGTGCCTCCGTTTCCTCGTCGGCTGCAGTGCTGGCTGCGGGGGAAGTGGGCTGGCCCTCCCCAGGCAGCAGCAGCCTCTGAGCACCTGTTAGAAAAGCAGATTCTTGGGCCCCCAGACCTACGGTCGGAAACACGGGGAGGATCAGGAATTGGGGTTGAGAGCCACTGACATAGGCCATAGGACTGGGCACAGCCAGCGGCCCAGGCTGTTACGATTATCATCTTCTTTATCCGTTTTGATCCTCCCAACCGCCTGCCAACCATTGTCCCCATTTTACAGCTGAGTAAGTTGAGGCTCACAGCAGAGCTGTCCCCGTGCCCTCAGCTCTCTGGGCAGGGCTGTGCTGAAGCCACTGATGGGGATGGGTGGTGGCCAGGGAGGGGACGCGACAGAGCTGGGGGACTGGGCCTCACCAGCTGCTCCCCCCGCCCCACAGAGACACTCCCTGGTGTCTGCCACCGAGTGTCTGCAGAAGATCATGTGAGTCCGGGCCCTGGGGAGGGTGGAGGGAGGCGGGCGTGGTGGGCCCCGTTGGGACTGAACCGGGGCCTTGATCTGCAGCATCACAGTGGACCCCCGGGAGAAGCAGGAGGCGCTGGAGCGGACATACGAAGAGATCGAGGCCACGGTGTCCCAGGCGCTGGGCCAGGAGCACAAGCTGCCCATGGACGACCTGCTGCCGCTGCTCATCTACGTGGTGTCGCGCGCCCGGTGAGCCGCCTGCGGAGCGGGTCCCTCCCCGGGGCTCCCCCCACCTCCCGCCACCCTCCCCGACACACTCTGAAAGCAGTCTGTGTACGTCACTGCTTTTCTTAGTATCTTAGTGCCGATGGGCACACTGAGGCCCAGAGAGAAGCGGGTCCCAGGGCGCCACCCCGGTCCCGTGGGCGTCCGAGCAGAGCAGGGACCTGGCCCAGGTGCCCAGCCTCCCAGGCCTGCTGCTCCCCCAGCCGCTCGGGGCCTGTCCCTGGTGGCCCCCTTCTCCCTCTCACTGCGGGTGGTTCTCCAGAATCCAGCACCTGGGAGCCGAGCTCCACCTGACCCGGGACATGATGGACCCCAACCACACGGGCGGCCGGTATGACTTCCTGCTCACGGCCCTCGAGGTGAGGGACAGAGATGCCCTGGCCACTGGGGCAGACCCCTCCCTGCAGCAGCCACCGCCATGGGAGTGAGCTCACTCCCACCACACATGTGCCTCCACAGAGGGACCCTCGCAGAGCCCTGGACCTGCCCTTGTGAAAAGGGGCTGGGGGCAGCCAAGTGCATTCCAGCCCGAGCACCCCAGGGCCCGAGTGTGGTCCAGACTGCAGTCCGAGCACATGGGGAGGGGGGGCCATTTCCTTGCAGCCTGTGGTGAGGGCCCAGGTGGACACGGTGGTGCAGGCCCGGGAGGGGGGTGCACCTGGTAACCGCCCGAAACTGTGCAATGGCTGGGAGTGGGCAGGACAGCAGCCTCACCCTCCCCTCTCCCTCCAGTCCTGTTACCAGCACATCCAGAGGGACGGGACGACACGCATCGACTGCCCACCGGCCGGGACTCCAGGGAGCCCTGGTAGCTCGGCCTCCCCTGGACCAGGCGTAGTGCCGAGCAGGCCGCGTGGACTCCCGGGCTGCGAGCAGGCCCAGCCTGG